CTCTCTTTCGGCTACCGGGGTTGCTGTCAGCCTGTGGCTAAAGGGTTTTTTCTCACTCGCTTGTCACCAGCAGTTGGTGTGGATTACTTTTTTTTTTTTCTTCCCCCCCCCAAAAAAAAGTAAAAGGCTGCAGAGGGTTGTTGCGGGGGCACTGGCAGTGCTGCTCAGGGGGCGTGAGTGTGGAGCAGGCTGAGGGAGGTGTGCCAGGCCGGGGTCCAGGCGTGTGTCTGCACGGACCTGCAGCCGCACGAGAGAGTGCCCGGGCACAGAGGAGGGCAGGGCTGCCTCGCCGGGTGGGAGGAGGGAAGAAGAGGGGAACAAAAGTGCAGGCTTTGGAAGGAAGAGGTGCTGGGAAGAAACTTCTCAGCGGCAGAAGTGCAGCTTGTGAAAGAGTCCCAAATGTGGTGGCAGGCACCTGGGGTTTGGGATTGAGAAGGGCTGGCAACCTTGGCACGAAATGCAGCAGTGCTCCCCTTACTGACTCTGTCTCCTTTCCTGCCACCTCATCTGCTATGGCTCTGCCAGTCCTTACTCAGCCTGTGTCAGCTCCTTGTACAGAGCTTTCCGTAGCTTCTCCTGTACAAACTCCTAAAAAAAAAAAAGTAATTACCTAATGCTGTAAGTTGCATAGTTTGTTTCTGGTTTTCCTTAACATCCCGGTGGTCTATGAGTAAATGTCATCCGCGCTGTGCAATGGTAGAACTGTGCAGCTACTTGCATAGGAGCACGTGGCGAGCAAGAGTAAGTGCAAACTTTCTGATTGTTATTCCTTCAGATCTTGCTTCCCTCCCGAGCAAGAGCACCACTTTGACCTCTTCCTTAAGCCCTTGTGTATTTGTGTACCTAGATGTCGACTTGTGACTCAACTCCGTTTTGATGCCTGGAGAGAGAGATGCTGTTTGAGCCACATTTAAGCAGTAAGCTTGACATCATTTACAATGCAACATAAACTGTATTCCCCGCCGCCCTGTGACTTGACATTAGCTGTGCTGTGTGCCTGTACTTAGACATCTTGCTTTAAAACCCTGCTGTATTTTACTGGACTGCTGAAATTTGGACTGGTAAAACACTGGTATATGAATATTGAAAAGATGCTGTGCAACTCACAGTAAGCACTGGGTAACCTGTAAGGTTAACAGAGTGGGAATTATCAGTGAAATGTTTATTATTTGTGCTTTGCTCTGCGTGAGGCAGTTGAGTGTGACTGCTCCCTCAAGCCTGGCAGGCTTGGCTCTGCCCAGCTCCCATCATCAGCCCATCCACTGCAGCGGTGCGGCCTCAGCCCCCCAAACCACGGCTCAGGGCTGATGAGGGGCAGAGAGTACATTTTGGTGGTGCCTAAGGGACTGGCCTGCTGTTTGTGCATGTTGTGCAAATATTGAAGAGGCAGTAACCCCTCCTCTAGCGATTTAAAAACCTAATCTGATCCTGTTCACATGAATGGATGCTAGTTGTTTTAACTGCTACTTGTTCATTAGGCTTCGTATCTCTTTGACCTTTGTTTCAATAGGCTTCGTATCTTTTGACTTTTTCTCTCTCTCGCTTTCTAATCCGGAAAGCTGTTGCAAAGGTTATTATTTAGGAAGTGCTTTGTACCTTTTTTTTTAAAGAATACAGAAATCAAACGTATTAAGAAAGGAAAAGACATGAACTAATTAATTTTCTTGGTTTGTTTCTAAACGTTGGATTTTATCATTGTCTCAATACATAGTTTTCCAGGAACCATCCCAGCCAGACTGTGTCTAGCAGAATTTCCCTCATTGAACAGCTTTAATCCATTACCTGGGGTGCCGGAGGAGGCCAGGCTGCCCCAGAGAAGCACCCTGTAGGCACTTGGGCAGCTCTACAGAGTCAGCCAAGGTTGACCATGGCTGACACGGAGTTACGGTTAAGTCCCCTCCACTCTTGACTTCTCCTCCACAGTCCTCCATGTCTCCTGCTCAAGCTCCTCCTGGTCTGGGGAGTTTATTAGTGCTGGAGAAATACTGGACTTGAGATGACAGTGTGAACATGCCCTGCTTTGCTACAGGAAGAGGGGAGTCAGGGCCAGTATCCCCAAAGCCCCCTTCAGCAGCATCTCAGATCCCCAGATTCCTGGCGCTGGCTGGCTCTGTGCTGGGCTGTTCGCCTTCCTTACATTGTATTTCTGATCTGGGTGCAGCCCTGGAAAACCCTGAGCTGCTTCTGGACACATCCAGCTCGAGGCCAGGGTACGCTGGGGCAGACTGCTGCACTGCACGAGAGCAGCTGAATTACTGCTGGAAACAAATTGCCTCTGGATGCTGTACAGCTGTATTCCTCGATGCTGCATTTTAGCTACCAAGTCTAATGCGATTCAAGCTGGTTTTGTGTTGAACCAACTCTGGTGTAAAACATTGTCCTGTGGCTGTTCAGAAGAAAAACTCTAGGAAGCTAATCTCAGCTTGTTTGTTGGTTTAATAGACAATGTCAGGCAAGTAACTTAATCTCTCTGTCTCCATTTACCCCATGTATATGAGGCTTTATAATCCTGAAAAAAACATGGTGAAGAATATTGTTTATAAAGTGCTTTGAACCTTTTTTTTAAAATAATAGAAATAGGAGGGGAAGAAGGAAAACCATCTTGGATCTTAATCTTAATTTATTTTCATGGGTTTGTTTCTAACCACATGATTTAAAAAAATGAATGCAAACTCCTAGTTCAGACAAGCAAACAAATCTCCTGTTTGGAATTTTTTTTTTTTTTCCTGGCTGTGTTAGGCTCTCAGTGGGAACAGTGATTGTATCATCATCTGCTTGAGAATTTACAATTACATTACCAAGTATCCAGGCACGGCTTGTCAGGCATGCTTTATACAAATTGCACACTTGAGCAGTGCGACAGGCCATCATCAGTAACTCTATTTCTGCTAAGGAGACTTCCTCGCGGTGGTGAGTGTGTACTGCCTGAATGTCATCTGCAAGTTTCTTCTAATGAAATTGTCAGCGTGGCCCGATGGGCTGGGGAGAAACCCCAGCACGCAGGATAGTCCCGCTCTCAGCACTGGAGTAACTGAGCACCTTGAAGCGCTGCAGTGAGTGGTTCAACTACCCTCCATCACATGTGGTTAATAAGAATTGCCGTATTTTGTTCACCTTAGGAAGGAGATGAATCATACCAATTCTTTTCAATTTATCTTCATCTTCATTCATTATCTTCTTCATTCAGGCTCTTGATCATTCTTGTCTTTCTCTTTTGAAGTCCCTCCAATTCTTTGTACAAAGCACATCTCAGATTCATTTTTAAGTGATTTACTTTGATAACTCTGCAATACAGCTTTTCCTTTGGGTATGGACCTGGAGTTGCATATTGGATCTATAGTTACTTAGGCTTCTTGACCTGAATTGCTTTGATTTTTTTTTACTAGCTACATTTGTGAACTTACTATATGTTTACGAACGGATAGAGGGGCAGTTTCATCAGTTTAGCTGCTGAAAACCAACAATATTACTGTGCCCTGCCTGATGCGGTCACGGTATAAACATATGCAATGTTGATTAGGAAACGAACATCAACATCTTCTGAGTAACAATTTTATTGAACTCTCAGTTAGGGTAGTAGTAGATTTTTCTCCCTCAGAAAAGTTTTAACACTTCTTTTAAAAACAAATAAAAATCACCTCGGGGTGATCCATCCAACAAGAGGCAGCCAGGTGAGGTTCCTGTGCAGGGAATTCAGGTTTAAAACCTTCCTCTCAAACTGAAAGCACATCAGGGTGTCTCATGGGTATCTCATGGATGTGTCCTGACATCTGGGGTTAAAAGTCTGTCTCTCCTGCCCATAGTTCCTTTCTCATGATTAGTGGTCTCCAACATCCCCAAACGGGGAGTCCAAGAGAACCGTCAAGACAAGACACTGCAGCTTTATGGTTACAATATATAACTTGGGATACGGGAGATGCATCTTCAAATTCCTCTTCTGAACAAAGCAGAGTAGTGATTTCAGCCTGGATTTCCAGCCAACTATAGTGGTGTCGATCTTTCTTTACATTTAACACAAAATTTTGTCCTGAGAAGCCCTTCCCTAAAATTTTGTCCAAATGGCCGTATTTTCTCACACACACACAATTTTTAGTTGATGAAGGAATCCCTAACCAGCCCAGTAATGAATTCCTGCGGGAGATGCTGCTGGGCTTTCCTAGAAAACAAATGCTCTGTGTGAGGCTTTCTTGCAGTAACTGCGGTGTTAGCGATCCTTGGTTACCTCCATGCAGATCCTGTGCTCGCTCCCTGACCTGCCCCTGCGAGCTGCGGGGAGCAGAGCCCGGACTCTGTGGGTGGGAAACTCTGGGTAAAATGTCCTGTATTGGTGGAGGGAGGTTGCAAACTTTTCCATCCTTGGAGATATTCTAACTCAGCTGGCTGAGTGCCTGGACAGTCTAGTCTAACTGACTCTGTTTAGAGAGAGGGTTGGACCTGCAGTGGTCCCTTCCAATCTAATTAATCCCACGATTCTTACTCAGATTTCCATCATCTCCTTTGCAAATGGACAGACTTGCCCTCATACTGGCTATTTTTTCATGAAGCACCATGCAGCACTGCCACATTTATGCCGTCAAGCACGCAGTGATACAAATGGCCTTGTTTGTTGATGTATCTGATGTTTCTGTACAGATGCTGTACCAATTCTTGGACTGACAGACCCAAGACTCTGCTACCTACTGGATGGATTCCTCTTCATTTATGCAGTCATCATGACAGCCCTTTTTGTGAAAGCGAAGGTCAGTCTATCCAAATACTGATGCATTTGGCTTTGCTGGTGTAAACAAGTTGGGCTTAGCTGGAAAGTGGGGGTGGAGAGGAAGCATGTCTCTTAGAATAAGACCTTTTTATTTTTTTATTCTCTCTTTTTTGTTTTTTTTACTTTCCTCCTTTTCCAGTGCCAGCCTAAGCAGTCTGGGGGAGTTCTTTCTGAGGGCTCATGAATAGAGGGGAAGAGAGTATATGAGAGTATTTTGGATGCAGTCAGAGGTTCTGGATATTGTAGCTGGGAAACGCCTGATCAACAGTGATGTGGTTTCTTTTGCTGCTTTGTCACTGGAAAGAGAGGAGGGGATATACAGAAAATTCAGGATAAATGCCAAGCTTGTGAAGGATGTGTTAAAACTTCTCAAGAAGTCAGACATCTTTGGTAGTATGAGTGTGATGATGCAAGGGATACAATCCCAACAACCACAGGAGAGGAGTCGGGGACAGGATGGACACAACTTGATGGGCTGTTGTTACCATCCAGCAGCTGTTCAGCACCTAGGGAGGCTCTTGGTGGCTGTAGTGCACTTCCACGGAAGAAGATAATGTAACGTGATGGAGGCATGTACGTTTCCAGACACGTATGTGCTCTGAGAGCTCTGCTAATCATAGGAGAGGAGCTGTCTGCCTTTCCCGGGCACAGGGCACTCCAGTGCAATGGAGCTTTCAGCCAAGCCTAAGCAGGCCAAAAGGTGTCTTGGCCGCTGTCTGCACATCTGAACTAGCCTCCTCCCAGAAGCAAAGGCTTGCTGCGCTTGGGATCTCGGCTTGCTTCTCACCAGATCGTGGCCGAGATCAGCAGCAGGAGCCCTGACAGGGTGATGTTGTGCTGCTGCTGGTGCCCACCGGCTCTTTGGTGGGATCATTTCTCGGGACTGCAAAGCCAGTGCTGAACTCAGAGGGAGGGAGGGATGTTTGGAGGAAATCAGCAGAAAGTAACAGTGAAGGAGAAACCTTTTTTATTGCCAGTGTAAATCCTGACTGCAGCTGAAAGTGCTGCTCTGGGACTGGAAGTCTTTTTGAGGTTGCTAAAGGGACGAGCCGCTGGGGCACAAGAGCCCCACACTAGCTGCCAGCAGCAGCTGTGCGCCTTGCCTGGTGTGGGGCAGGAGCACGCTAGTTAAGGAGGACTCAGCAAAGCATCCGAGGAGGAGCATGAACCCAGCACAGGGAGCTGCCGCAGCCGCAGCGCGCTCACCAGCCGCTCTTTCTCCCCCACCCAAAGCGTGTCTTAAGCGTGCTGCTGCGGGGGCAGAAACTTGTGTGGTTTCTCCAGCTGGGGCTCCCTGCAGGGGCAGAGCTGGAGCTGGAAATGGCTCAGAGGCAGCAGCCCTCACCTTTAGGTCTGGGAGCGCTCGCTGTCCTCCTGGCATGCCTAGCTGTTTGCTGGTAACACACGTAGCGTTCAGCTGCAGCAAGTAAGCTGTTGCATGAGGAAGGCAGCAGAAGGACGGGGAAAGCCATGCCTGTGGTTATGCTGGAGTCTCGCAGCCAAAAGCAGAAGAGGCGCTGCAGCTGAAACGCCACCATAAAGCACCATAAAGCTGATGGGGCATTTTCCAAGGGACCTCTGTTTTGTCCCAAACTTAGGACTTTTTTATAAATCTTCCAAGCTGTGTCATATCTCTAACCTCACCTCCTGGCTGAAGGAATTGTTTGTGGAAGCTTTTGCCAAGGGCACAGCCTCATCTCTGTTGTGAGCTTTTTATTTATGGACCATATGGACGATGCTCCTGAACATTTAGGCTCCTTTGCAAGAAACATGGGTTAGATGCTTGGTAAATTACTGGCCCCACCAAAGGTTCAGTGGCAATAATGGCACTTTCATGGGGAAAGTGGTGGGGTAGGTAATTTGTAATTACTACAAATATGATTTTAAAAGACAAAGTCAAGTTTATCCTATGCCTGAAAACAAACCCATCTAAAAAGTTGCTTTTAACAAAGATTTTAACGTATGATAATAACTCAGGAAAGTTAAAGCAACACAGAACGCAGTTTGACGCTGTTTTTTGGAAGGACTGGAACACGAAGTAGCTGCTCTCACTGGCCTAAAACTGCTCTTTTTTCCTGAAAGTTTGGCTCAGCAATTAACTGCTCATAAATACTGTGAGGAGCAGAATCAAAGAGTAGGGACGGAAGGGAAAACCTTTATCTACTCGTTAGTTGCCCCTCATGCCAATTTACCATGGTGGCACCGCAGTGTCGCAAGCCAGGTACGGCTCTGGAGGGGTGCAGGGATCCCCTGTGCCCTCTGAAGCTGAGGACACCCAGGAACTTTGCAGGCAGCACTTTTGCTGGAGGACTGGGGTCTCGGGGGGTGCTTTTGGTCGTTAGCAGCACCAGATACCCAGTTTTTCTTAACACGGGCTGCAATTATGATTTTATAGCCTGATGGAGCTACTTTCAATAGCATAGGATTATGGTATGCACAGAATAGGAACGTAAAAGCAGTGGTGGTGGGGTGGAACACAGATGCTTTGAGTAGCAGCGAACTGGTGTTATGTGCAAGTAAAATGGCCTGGCTGCTGAGAGCAACCTGGTGTGTGGGTAAAAGTGCCAGTACAGCAGTGGCTTCTATTGCCTGTAGCCCCATCGGTGCCGCAGGTTGGCTGCTTATGGGTTGCCCTGTTTCTGAGGAGAGTAACTTCTAGGAGAGAGGGAACGAAAGGACTGAATGGAGCCACTGTTTCTCTGCTCATGGTATGGTCTCTCTTCCAGCTTAGCCAGGCCTCTGAACCACAGCTGCAACCAGGCCAGGATGATGTGTATAATGTAAGTAACTACTGTTTTTTGTTTGTTTGTTTTCAAATCTGCTACCCAGACAGACCTTTTTGGGCACTTACAGATACTGAATTCCTGTGGATCAGAAAAACTTGATGACCCAGCTAATGAAAGCGATACACCCAAGTGTGCAGCAAGCAGCTGTAAGGAGGAAAAATAAAACCTGGCAAGAGCAGCTTCTGTTGTCACTTGTCTGGCTGGATGCTAGATAGATATATGGGCTGTAGGTTCCTGATTTGATCCACTGAGCTGAAGGTATACCAGGAACCCAGACTGTTTCAGAGGCAGTGCTCGGTGTGCTGCACCATGTAAAACGCCTGCGAGAGCGCTCTGAGAGTGTGTGTGATATGCGTGCGCATAGCCACCGGACTGTTACATGTGATGTGCGCACCCCAACTTCACACCCAGCCCTCTGCAGTTGGCTTGCAGCTCTCGCCGATCGCTATTCCTCGGGCGACTCACAGGCACGCTGCCACCCGTGTTGCCGATGTTATTTGATGCGAGCTGGAGAAAGGGCAAACGCCCAGGAATGCTGCGTTGCAGACTTTGGGCTACTGTAGCTCTTGTATCATCCAGTGTGTGGAGCCTGAGTCATCGCAGCCCGGCTGTCTCTGTCCCCGAGCTTTCCTGTTGCCCCGCAGCGTGAGACCTGTTGTACCAGATCGTACTAGAGGCGTACCTTGTCCGCTGTGCTCTGATCGTAGCCAGCATCAGATGGCTCTTCAGGCAGTGAAAGAGGACAGAGACAAGATCCTGTCCGTCCTTCCTAGCTAAATTGCTCACTCATGGCAGCATTAAACTCCAGCTATTTTTGCTACGTCTAGTTGTCTTTTGATTTTAATTTTTTTTTTCTCTCACGCTTTTGACCATAGCCACATCCTGTGATGAGTTCTGTTGTCTAACTGTGTAATGTATGAACAGTAAAGCATTTTTTTCAGTTTAAGAAGTGTTGCCTGTCACCTTTTCAGTAATACTCTGTCAGCTATATTATTCTGACCTGAAATCTCTCTTTTGCCCTCTTCCAAGGTAATCTGTCCCAGATAAGAAATGTGTTGCGCATAAAATTTCTACAGCCACTTGATGCAAATTTAGATGAGTTGTTCTGCAAGAGAAACCAAGCTCGTGGATCTTCACCCACCAGTAGGAGAGAAAGCATGAAAGTCAGAGTCCCTCCCCCTCCCATGCTCTCATTTTCAGCTCATTCCTACTTAAGAAAGGCTCTTGATGCAATGGCTTGCAGTTTTGTGCTGCACAAACCACTTGTTGTCATTTCCATGGCTTAGTCATAGAAATTTTTGTTGACAGTTGCATTAAGGGGTAAAATAATTTCTGGCTCTGTTATAATACTCATGAAGTTGGACACCAAACTGGGTTCCCTTTTTTTCCTGTGTTAAGGCAAGATCTGTTTTCTCGTGATCATAATGTTCATCGTGCTTCTTGCTTTCTCATTTCAGAAACTGTCTCGTGGACACAGAGATGAGTATGATGTTCTGGGGGCAAAGCGAGGTGCAGACCCTGAGCTAGGCGGGAGACACCAGGTAACTTCCTCCCACACACGCACCTTTTTTCTTTTTATCTGGTTCCTTCCTTCTCATGTCTAACCGCTGTTTAGACATGCAGGCATTCGTCACGTGTTTGCTAAGCACCAGTGCCTTCCTGGAGAGGGAACGGCAAAATCTGTGTAGTAACTCAGGCGGCTGGCAGCGTGGCGGGGACGAGAGTAAACCTTCCCCCCGCTTTGATCTTTGCCCCTCGCGCCCCCCGTCACTTTGCTGAGAGCTTGCAGCCACCCAGAATAGGAAGTGACACCCAGCCCTGGGGCGGATGTCGAGCAGGCAAGGCAGGAGTGGGTGTTTCACGAGCACTCGCTGCACGTGATGCCACCAAACAAGTGCCAACAAAGTAAAGCAGCAGCCAAAACAACTGTTTCTGCTGCAGAGCCCAACAGTTTCAAAGGAAAAGGGAGGGGAAACCTTCTGCATCAGCATGTAGGGCTTGCCTGCAGGTGACAGCTGTAGGGATTGAGCAGAGAAGAGCTAAGTTTTATCAATTATTAAAATTAAATTAATTTTCCAGAGAACAAGTTGTCTTAACAGAGCCTTATGGGTGGAGGCAAGATGGGCTGTAACGGGTACAGCACGTCCATAGAGCTGTAGCTGTGACTTAGAGCAAATGCACAGGCACATACAAGGTGCTGGTAGTGCAACATGTGGGCAACGATCTTCTTTTGTTTTACAGCAGAGAAGAAAGAACCCTCACGACACCGTCTACACTGTGAGTAGAGAGCGCTGGAGGGAGAGGAGAGGGAGGGATGGCTGGAAATACGAGTTTCTGTTTCATAGGAGACTTCTTCTCCCCTACCCAATTTCAGCTTTGGTTCAAACTTAACAGCTGCTTTCAAAGACTTCTCTTCCCTTCCACCCCCCCTTTTTTGCTAGAAAACTTCTGCTCCCTTCTCCGTCATAGGAGAAAAACATTGGCAGATAGGGAAAATAATTTGGATGAAGATACCTGCTGATCCCTTTATGTTAGCCATTAGTGACTAACCAACCTTCGTCCCATGTGACTGATGCTGCAGTATTTTATGTGCTTGTTCTCCAGCCTCTCTGACAAAGGCCAAATACCAGTGCCTCTAAGAGTGGCTGCTTAGGAGCCTCTTGTTTTAATTGATTTCACTCTGGCTAAATGTGGTGGTCTGTGCTCCAAAGGGTAGATACGTGAATGCTAAAGCTCATGTCTTAACTCGGGTCTTTCTGGGTGTTCAGTGCATGCCGAGAAACGAGCTCGTTTCAAGACTGGCTTCCATCGTTATTGAATCAGATGCTCTGATCGCAGCTGGCCGTAAGCATTTGGGAACTGCTTCCCCGGATGGAGGAAGGAAGTGCTCCTCTTTCTTAACCTTCATCCTGCAGTCTTAGACTTACCTTTTCTCTAGGCCTGAGGTGCATGTTCGGGTTTGTCTCCTGAACAAATGCTGCTTAAAGCTTTTCTTTGGAGAGCTTTGATTGTAGCATCAGGTGCCAGTCTAGATAAATGACTTGGTTGAGGGTAGAGTTATAGTCATTTAAGTGTTTGGAGATGAGGTGGTATTGATATGCTAAGCAGATTTGATCATGTATAGCATCTACTTAAATGCCCATTGGTCAAGTCCCACCACTGTCCCTTCTTCTCTGGAATATATTGAAGCTTTGAAGGCAAGGCAGCCCCACAAGCACAGGCTTGGAGTGCAGACACCCAGGGGCTGGCTTGGCTTTTCTAGTAACATGCTGACTCTTTC